GCGGCCGGGGAAGTCGCGCGGCCCTAGGGTCTCTGGCTCTGGGCCTGCGGGGCTGGCCGCCCAGGACCGAGTGGCCTCGGCGGGTGGTTACTAAGTGTCTTTCTGGGCTGCGAACTAGGAGCGGGCTGCACGTCGTGCCCAGCATCTCCCTGCGCTGGTTGTGTGTTTTTCCCCAGTTTTTTTTCTTTTCGTATTAAAAACATCTTGACTCTTTTTTTTTGAGAGGTTTTGCCTTAGGATGCATTTACTTACGGAGGCGGGTGGGTGAGTGAGAAACCCCCCGGGGCCATGCCACAGTCGCCCCTGGCTCTGCTCCTGAGATCTTGGGGCACACACATATGCCCAGTGTGATTTTTCAAGCCACCAGATCCAGGACTCGGACCGTGGTTGTACATGCGGGAGTCCAGTGACGGAACTGCTACACCATTTGCTGGTCCCGTCTTCCATCAGAGAGAGACAAGCTTGGCCCAGTGGGGCCCCCATGCCAGGGTCAGCCCCTGCCAGCCAGGGTCCATGCCCGCGGGAACAGGGAGAGCTGGGATGGGAACCCAGGCGGCCAAGTGGCTCCAGCATCACACAGGGTGCCCACATCCACATTTAAGCCTGCCACTCAGGGGCACTGAGCACACCGCCCTTTGTGGCCATCAGCGCTGGGTCTCCAGATGTTCTTGGCCTTCCCCTCATTAAACAGTAACTCCAGGGGCCAGCAGGTGGCATGATGGTTAAGGGCACTGGACTCCCGCATGACTGGCCACGGTTCGAGTCCTGGACCTGGTGGCTTGCTTTCCCTCTCTTTTTCAGTCTCTCACTCTGTCCCTCTCTGGTCAAATTAAAAATAAATAAACAAACAAACAAAAAAAACTTCTCCTTACTTAAATTAAAAAAAGATAACTCCCCATTCTCCTCCCACAGTGCTGGCCACCAGTGTCCTGTGAGCCACCTGGCTGGGCGATGTGTAAAGGAAGCAGCCTTTTTGTTTTGTTTTGAGAGAAGTTACTGCTGGGCGTGTGCACTCACCAGAGATGCAGAGAGAGACAGAAAGATAAATCACCCCTCGGGGGGGATGGCCACACTGCAATTCCTTCTCTATTATCCTCTCAGGATCTTGGACACACACGTGCACCTGGTGTGAGGTTTAAGCCACCGGGTCCGGGACGCGAGCCGTGGTCGATTTTGTGGGAGTCCAGTGACATAACTACTGCGCCATCTGCTGGTCCCAAAGGAGCACCCTGCATGCTGGCTGAGGGAGGGCGGCATGACGGAGTGCAGCTTGCCGGCCCTCCCCCAGAGCCAGGCCCTGTCGGCAGCTGCCTGTGCCCTAACGGTGCCCTCTGGCCTCTTGCTCGTCTCTGCCACTGCCACCGGCCTGGCTCTCGGTACGGAGCTACCGGCCTGGTCTCGGAGCCAAAGTTGTCCTTCCAGGCGCACAGTGCGAGCCAGCCAGCCGGTGTCTCCAGGAGCTGTTTCCTGGTGCCCTGTTGCTGTGCTGGCTATCTTGCCCAGAGCAACCTGCGTCCCCACGGGGCACATGTCACAGCCTGCCACGGGGAAGACATAACTCATGGAGGGTGGGCCATGGCCTTTCACCTTCTGCCCCAGGAACAGGTGACCGGGCTGAAGGTCCTGCGCAGTGACGTGTCTCACAGCCCAGTCAGTGAGGTCGAGGTTTCGCTGCTGGCGTTGTGTCCAGCAGTTCTGGTGAGGCCTTCTGCCCCTTGCTGACCCCATGCTGCTTGTCCCCAGGTTTCCTCTCAAGGACTCGAAGCGTCTGCTCCAGTGGCTGAAGGCGGTGCAGAGGGACAACTGGACGCCCACCAAGTACTCCTTCCTCTGCAGCGAGCACTTCACCAAAGACAGCTTCTCCAAGAGGCTAGAGGACCAGCATCGCCTGCTCAAGCCTACAGCCGTGCCCTCCATCTTCCACCTGGCGGAGAAGAAGAGAGGGGCTGTAGGCCATGGCCGCACCCGGAGAAAGGACGCTCGCAAGGCCCCTGGGGGCGTGAGGGGGCCCACGAACACAGCGGCCAGGAAGGGAGCCGCAGGGTGGGCGCTGTCCCCGGCTGAAGACCCCATGGCCAGGCCCGAGTCCCTCAAACTGAAGCGAGCGGCACTGCATGCAGAGGCCTGGCCCGGGCCTGCCCCAGCCCCAACAGCTATGGGCCAGGAGCAGACCAGGCGCTCCCAGGAGAGAACTCCAGAAGGGCTGGCCCCTGCAGGACCAGCAGCAGGCAGCCAGGGGCCAGCAGAGGAGCCTGCTGCAGATGCTGGCAGCCATGGGGACACCACCGCCCCCAGCTCTGGGGGCCTGGCAGATAGGAATGGCATCTCCAAGGACGACTTCTCCCCCCCAGGCTCCGGGGCGTGCAGGTTCATCGACTCACTGCACTCCTACAGTTTCTCCTCCAAGCATGCTCGGGAGAGGCCGTCCGTGCCCCGGGAGCCTGGGGACCGCAAGAGGCTGAAGAGAGACGTGGAGCCAGGCTGCAGCGGGACCAGCCTGGGGCCTGAAAAGGGCCTGGCCCAGAGCCCCCCGGGCTCCTCGCTCACGGCCACACCTCAGAAGCCGTCCCAGAGCCCCTCAGCCCCACCGGCTGACGTCACGCCGCAACCCGCTGCCGAGGCCGTGCAGAGCGAGCTCAGCGATGCCAGCCCCATGTCCATTAACGAGGTCATCCTGTCGGCATCGGGTGCCTGCAGGCTCATCGACTCACTGCACTCCTACTGCTTCTCTGCCCGCCAGAGCAAGAGCCAGGTGTGCTGCCTGCGTGAGCAGGTGGAGAAGAAGAACGGCGAGCTGAAGAGCCTGGGGCAGCGGGTCAGCCGCTCTGACAGCCAGGTGCGCAAGCTGCAGGAGAAGCTGGACCAGCTGGAGAGAGTGAGCCTCCCCTACCTGGGCGGTCTGCCGGCCCCCAGCCGCGGTCAGTACCAAGCCTCTTCGCGCCACTTCCTTCCCGGGGCGTCCTGCAGGCCCGGGAGGCTCTTGTCTTGCTGTGGGCCATGAGCCTGTTCGGCAGCGGGTACATGGACAGCATGTCTTGGCATGTGCTGGGCAGAAAGCTGGGGCTGCCCGGCTGCTGCTGGTTTTCCGCTGGGAGGTGAGAGGTTGCCTCCGCTGCACACCTTAACCCTTACCAGGCCTTAGTCTATACGAGTAGTGTCTGCAGTGAAAGAGGATGGAGCAGGGGCCAGTGGTGGCATGGAGATTAGGGTACTGTCCCTCCTGGCCAGCTACAGTTTGAATCCTGGTGGCTTTAAAATCACACCAGGTGTCTGTATGCCCAGAATCCTGAGAGGAGACAAAAGGGATTGTGGCGTGGACTTCTCCCCTGGGAGGTGATTTTTCCCCCACTCCTTCCTCCCTCCCTTTCCCTCTCCCTTTTCCTCTTCCTTTCCCTCTTTCACTCACTCCTTCCCTTTCTCCCTCCCTCCCTCTCTCTCTCTCTCTCTCTCTCTCTCTCTCTCTCTCGTGAGCACACATGCTCTATAGAAAAAAAAAAACAGGTAAAACACCTAAAAGTTAATGAGGACAGAGCAAACTATCAGGAAAAGTACAGCACAGCCCAGGCCCCTAGCCTAGTGCTTAGGGAACCAGAGCCCACATGGGAGAACATGTGGTTGGAATCCCACAACTGGCAGCTTGAAAAACATGCCAGGTGTGGATGCCCAAAATAGGGACAGGACGGGGCCAGCAGGTAGTGTGGCCGTTAAGGCACTGGATCCCACATGGGTGATTACACAGTTCGAGTCCTGGACACAACAGCTTGAAAACACACCGGCACATTTGCGTGTCCAAAACTCCGAGGAGAATGGAGGAGAAGGTGTCATTTGGCCACCTCCCTGGGGGATCTCTCTCTCATGTGTGGCAAGTGTACATGCACTGGCAAAAATTTAAAAAAATAAATACCTCAAAAAGATGGAGAACCAGGGTGGCAGAGGAGAGGGAATGGTGGTATGACCAGACTTGCCTGGGGTGCTTTCTCCTTCCCCCTGTCTCTGGTAAGCACACACACCCTCTGGCAGATTTAAAAACGTATCGTGGACTCTGTCGATCACAGAGACTTTCTATTCACATCTTGGTGAACACCCATGAGCTACGTCGTCTGGACACTAATAGTTGCTTCTTCAGGACCACTCCACGTTAAAGCTGGTCCAGGCAGAGGAGGCACGTGGGACGTGACGGGCGCACTTGATGACAGGCCACATGGCTGTGGTGGTCACATGAGCTGTGGCATGTGCCCAGGTGGGTCGCCCTGTGGAGAATAGTTAATTGGCTGCCCTCCACAATGCCCCATCACGGAGTGTGCATGCTGTGCTCGCCTGGCCGGGTGGCCTGCTGTATCTCAGCGGCCTCTGTGGTGACACGGCTGCACTGTGCCTCCTTTGCAGAGCTGCGCTGCAGAGCGCATGGGCTCGCTGGGCGTGTGGCAGTAGACGGTTTCTGTGCTTTCGCGTGTGCTCGTCTGTCCCTGTGCAGAGGTCAGGTGTGTTTTCCTATGCTAGCCGATTTGTCTGTTTCCCCCATCTTACTGGTTTCTGGGTGCACTTCACGGGTCAAAGGTAGTATCATTCGCCTTAGTGTGCACGTGGGACTTCATTTCACCTGGGTCGACGTGTGTCCCTGAGGGTGATCAGCACTGTGGAGAGGGTGAAGTCGGGGGCTTTCTGGACCCCAGGCACTGGCAGGTGGCGCCCCCCCAGCCAGCCGAGCCTTGCATTTCCACGCAGGTCCTGGGAGGGCACCCGCAGTCAGCCAGGGCTGCACACTGCCCTCCTGCAGCCAGGGCTGCACACTGCCCTCCTGCAGCCAGGCTGCTGCGTGGGTCCTGCTCTGATGTTTCTCTGCACCTCTCCTATCCTCTCGGTCACCTGCCCAAGCTTGCTTCCAGGCAGGTCTGTCCACACAGCCACGCCTATCTCCTGAGCCCTTCCCTCTGGGGCCCCTTTCTCACTCAGGCTCGGATGTGTCTCCTGACACGTGGGGCTCAGGCCGGGCCGACACTATCCCTGGCTTTGCCTCATGCTGCCCTTGTGCTCGCTCGCTTGCTCTTTGAGCGAGGGTACAGAGGGTACAGGCACCCGCCGGAGAGAGGGGAAGAGGAAGCACCTAGGGGGACATGGCCACGCAGCAGCCCTCCTTCATTTCTCCACCTGTCGGGGTTTGGGGCACGCACATGCTGGTGTGTTTCTCAAGCTGCAGGGCTGGGACTCGAACCGTGGTCTACCGCATGGTCTCTTGGGCCAGCCTGATTGCTGTGCATTTCTATCAGGTCCTCAGGAAAGTGATGATGTGTTTTTTATGCAAAAATGCGGCATGCCTTTGCTGAGGCCCCAGTAATAGGTGGTCTTGGTTCCCTGCTAGGGTAGGGTTCTTTAGAAAGACACTGACTGCTTCGAGTGGAGAGGTGCTTTTCACTTTATTGCGTTAAGCCCTGATGACTTTGGACTCTGGAGACCCGCTGCCTGATACAGTGTGTGGGTGATTGTCGCTCCTGGTTGGAGAAGGCTGTCCTCCCGCCTGTTGGCTACTTTGTCATTCTCTAAGGCTGGGTGTTGCTTATTTGTATTCCATTTGTTCTGTTTTTGTTGTTTTGTTTTTACTTATTTATTTTTTCTATCTCCTCCCTCCCCCCCCCCGCAAAAAAAAATAAGTAAGTTAAAAAAGAAGGTAGAAAACAAATCCGTTGAGTAATACATATGAGCAAGACGTGACCTCAGGGAACAGTTGCCAACAGGCAGGGCAGACACAGAGGCATCCTGACGAGTGAACCCTGACAGGCTGCCCCAGTGCAGTCCCCAGTGGCCTCAGCCAGCCAGGATCGCTGCCTCCACATGCCCCTGTTCGCAGGGAGACCTGAGAACACGGACTTGGGTGCCCGCTCTGGGCCTCCTCCTTGGCCTCAGCCTCGCAGGCACGGCCTTGCTGAGGTGCCACCACTGGTGGTGTTCCTAACCTCTTGTTCGGCACTGGTTCTGTTGGTTTCCAAGAAAGATTTGGGGGGGGGGGCATTTCTTCACGTCCGTCAAGGTTTGCCTTATGTCCCAAGACCAGGGGTTCGATGTGCGTATTCCCGGGCTGTGATTGGAGAAGTGCTCGAACTCGGTCGAGCCATCGTCTGCCCAGTAGCTCGTTGGTACCAAGTCAGCCGCTTTCTGTGCTCCTTGCTAGACTCAGGCAGTCCCTGCCTTCGCTCGTGGGCGTGTCTCCCGGTGCCCCTTCAGGTCGCTCTGTCTCTGGGTCGAGGCTGTCTGGGCTCTTACTGGGCGTTGTTGTCCCTGGCCCCGAGTGGCTGTAATGATTTAGACTTCGGCATACATTGTGCTGTCTGCTTTCTTCGCCAGTCTATCCACGTTTGTCTCTTGTTTCAGGAGTCTTTAAGCACATTTTAGAGCTCGTGTTCCAGTAACCCTGTGAGGGAGAGCTGGTCGGTGGCATCCACGCGTGGGTCCTCAGGGCTAGTAGAGGCTGCGACTTTGGCTCTCTCCTGAATGCCCACGAGGCTGACACAGGTCTGGGTGTGAGGCCCTTTCCTTGGACGAGAGGCCCTCACTCCTTCACCTTCTGTGCAGGCCCCTCATTTAAGGCAGATGGCCTGCTTATCCTGGAGAGGGGTACAGCCCCTGTGGTGCTGGTGTGGGGGCGTCGGTGGCAGCTGGCATGGGCCTCCACCCTGCCCCTGTGGGCCCTGTGATCTGAAGGTGTCACTTTCTAGGTGGGAGCGTCCTCTTGTCTCTCCTGGCTGCTTCCTTGGCGCCTGGGAAGTGACGGGGCCATTTAAGCAAGAGGGTGCCCTGCAGACTGGCTTTGCAGACGGTCCCTTCCCCCACTGTGAGAGGAGAGCAGGCACTGGCTGGCTGTGTCAGGAGCTCTATTGCCTGCCACGTGGAGTCAAAGAGGCCCAGGGAGGTGGTGATGGCTCAAGCTCCGGGAGAGGTGGTGGTGATGGGGTGGGCAGCCAGGGCAGCTGTCGGGGCCTGGGCCTGAGCACTGGCCATAGAGAGGCTGAGGCTGGAGTGGGCAGGTGGCAGCGTGGGCACTGCTGGGTGTGAGCCACCTGCCCCAGGTGAGGTCAGAGGTGTCTGAAGGTCCGAGGCCAAGCCCAGTAGCAGCCAGGGTGCGGAGGTGAAAGGTGCACTGGGAGGGGCCGAGCAGGGGTCAGGAGCCTCAAGGGACATCAGCCATGTCAGCCCAGCTCAGGCTGGACAGAGGACAGGAGGGCTCTGGCCGCCAGGTCTTACTGGGGCGGAGCATCTGTGTGCAGGGCGGTGGGGGCACATGCGCATCTTTAGAGATGCAGGAAGGGAGTCTCTCAGGTGGACGGTGGCCACAGGGGAACCTGGCCTGCACGGGAGTGTTGTCTGGGAAGGGGAAGAGGCCTGTGAGCCCTGCTAAGGCCCGGGACTAGGCTCAGGAGTGGCCAAGAGATGCAGAGAGAGGGGGCAGGTGCAGACCACTGGGGTCCCAGGCTGACCCCCATGCTCTGGCCCGGAGCTGCAGGAGGAGCCAGCCATCCAGGCTCCTCAGCACCGCCACCCTGGGGTGGTCCTCAGTGCAGTGGTTCCTTGGTCACGGGAGCCGTTGGCTGTTGTCAGGGCTTTGCCTGGAAAGGGCTGGGCCCATTTTCCTCATTCATTGTCTTTCACCAGTCCCTCGTTTTGAGTAGACTCCCCGTAGTGAGCCTCTAGGCTTCCAGGCCGGCCCACACTGCCCTTCTGAAGCTGCTGGTACCTCCTGGAACGTGGAACCTCCTCCCTTCGCCCTCCACACACTGAGGCAGCTCCCGGGAGATCCCGGTGCTCATCTGCGAGCTGGTCGGGGGATCAGCGTGCTGCCGTCTGGGTGCGCCTCCAGCTCTACTGCCCTTCTTACCACTGAGCGCGGCAGAGGGTCTAGGCACGCCAGAGGCACGGCCTGGCATAA